TGCTTCACATGCCATCCTAGGTCCTGCCTACCCGGCCTCCGAGCTTGAGGAACATTCACTCGTTGACCCCGACTAAGAGTTGTAACCATTGCGTCAAGCCTGTCCAACCTATTTTCCATATTTATCAACATCTACTCAAACCGCTGTATTAAGTCATCCTGCATGTTGGTTTGATTACTGTTTCAGCTAGAATTCGATCATTCCCTATCAGACATTGCTCACAATTTCCTGCCTCATCAAAAAATTTCACTCGAAAATTCACTCAATTTTAGGCTTTTACCCTCAATTGAACTCACCACTCAGTCTTTTACCACTCAAGCTTCCAATCAATGTCTCAAGAACAAATCCCAAACTCAATCTGATTGATTCTTGTGGAAGTCAAATTCAATTGTGCGAGACTCAAGAGTCAAGAGGTTGAAGGGCTAAATTAACGGACAAGATTTTTTTTGGGAGGGCTAAAAATTTTTTTTATGAATAGTACGAAACAGTACCGGATGAACAGTTAAAAAAATTTATTTTTTAACACAAAAACAATTATACTACTAAAAACTTTTAGATCTAGGACTCAAAACTAAGGAGAAAAAACTCAAACAAGGACTCCAAAATAAGAAAACAAAGGGATATAATTTTAATTATGGTGCCTAGACTCTGATATCACCTGATGTGAACACGGATAACTAGATCGCTATTAACCCACAAAAGAATGACACAAACCCCAAGAAAGTCAAAAATCAAAATTTATGAAATTTGACCCAAAAATTGGTAAATCAAACAACCAATAGAATCACACAGATATATTGACCTTTTGATTACATAATTAAATAAATCAAAATCCGAAGTTTAAAGTATGACCCGAATAATTAAATGAACCCGAAACCAAAGCAATTACTAGAATACCTTGATTCCATGATTGCACAACCCACGAATCTCAATTTGATTGGTGAACGACATGATAAATTATCCCGATACGTTCAATAAATTGTTCGCGAAGAACAAAGAATATTATTGCTACAAACTTCAAGTGAGGCTTTCAAATAAGTCTATACTTCTTCATACAGGCAGACTTCTGTAGCAATATATAGTATATATGCATGTTAAAATTGAAACTACAAGATTGTATTATTTTCGAAATAATCAAAAGATTATAAGAGCGGAACTTTACCAAGGAATTATAGATAGTGTATAGAGTGGTGAGAATAGAGGCTATAAGATTGGTAAATCAATAGTGTTACCCACAGGGTTTATCGGAGGTCCTAAAAATTTAACTAAAAGATATATGAATGCAATGTCTTTAGTTCAAAGATATGGAAAATCCGATGTATTTTTAACAATGACATGCAATCCAAATTGACCTAAAATTAAACAAGAATTGAGACATAATTATGAAATACAAAATAGGTCAAACTTGTTAGCACGAATATTTTGAGCTAAGTTTGAGGAACTAAAAACATATTTATTAAAGAGAGAAATTCTAGGGTCTGTACTTGCTTATATTTATGTGATTGAATTCTAAAAAAGAGGTCTGCCTCACATTCATTTTCTTCTTATATTTAAACCAAATTTTAAGATTACTAATTCTATGCAAGTTGATGAAATTGTTTCATGTGAAATAACAGATAAAAGAAAAATCCTTACCTACATGCTACTGTGATCAAACATATGATGTATGGTCTTTGTGGACAATTAAATCCTACAAATATTTGCATGGAAAACAACCATACTTGTAAAAATAAATACCCAAAAGAATATATTTTACATACTTCATTAAGTAATGATTCTTACCCGCTTTACAGATGTCGTAACGATTGTGTTACTGTTAGAGTTAGGTGATGCATACTAGACAATAGATGGGTTGTACCATACAATCCGTATATTTTAGCTAAATATGATTGTCATATTAATGTAGAAATATGTTCTTTTGTTGAAGCTGTGAAATATTTATATAAATATGTATACAAAGGACATAACTATGTTAATTTTGCTGTGAATAAAGAAACTAATGAATATTATATTGATGAAATTTCAAATTATCAAACTGCTAGATGGATATCTGCGCCAGAAGCTGTTTGGAGAATTTTTAGTTTTGATTTATTTGACATATCTCATTCTATAATTTCTTTGCAGTTACATGTTGAAAATTCTCAATTAGTTACTTACAATGAAACTGATGATTTATCAGAAGTTATAAATAAAGACTTTATCCAACGAACAATGTTAACTGAATTTTTTCGAATGAATATTTCTGATGAAAAGGCTCAGACTTTACTTTATAAAGATTTTCCTACATACTTTGTATGGATTACATATTTGTGAGTTTGGAATACTAGAAAAAAGCAAAATGTTATTGGTAAAATAGTTGTTGCTAATCCATCTGAAGGTAAGAGATACTTTTTAAAAGTTTTACTGAATCATATTAAAAGACCAAAATCTTTTGAAGATTTAAAAACGTTAATGGTGTTGTAGCACCTACCTATCGCCAGGCTGCATTCTTACATGATCTAATAAGTGGAAATAATTATTTTGACATGTATTTAATTGAGGCAATTTCTTATCAAATGCCTATATCACTCCATTGACTTTTTGCTAATGTGTTGATTTTTTGTGCCCCTACAAATCCTAGAAATTTATGGATTAAATTTAAAACTTACATGATAGAAGATTTTTTACATACAAGTCAGACAAAGTATGATGCTGAGATTAGAGCACTACGCTGTATAAATTCATTCTTAGAAGTTGTTGGTAAAAGTGTAATGATTTTTGCTTCACAGATTTCGACACTACTGTAAATGACACCGACATGTTAGCAAATATGATTTTAGAAGAAAGTGCAAATATTAGTGTTGAGTCTGACATGCATTTTACAAAGAGTTTAAATAAAGAATAACAATTTGCTTATGATACTATTTTAGATTGTGTTTTCAACGATAAAAATGAACTTTTTTTTATTGATGGTCCAGGAGGTACTGGTAAAACTTATTTGTACAAAACATTGCTTGTTACAGTACGATGTAGACAACTCATTGCATTGGCAATAACATCATCTGGAGTAGCTGCTTCTTTATTACCCGGTGGAAAAACTGGTCATTCGCGTTTTAAAATTCCTTTTCAAACAAGTTCTGATATGCGATGTTCGACAAGTAAACAATCTGCACTTGATCAGCTTTTAAAAAAGACGAAGCTAATTATGTGGGATAAAACACCAATGGTTAATAAATATGCTTTTGAAACTTTAGATAAAATGTTAAAAGATATTACTAAATGTGAATTGTTATTTGGTGGAAAGGTCATTGTGTATGGAGGGGATTTTCGTCAAGTCTTGTCAGTGGTACAAAGAGGAACAAAAGATGATATTATGAAAGCAAGTTTAGTATTTTCATATTTGTGACGATACTTTAGACAACTACCACTAACTCAAAACATGAGAGCTAGATTTGATCATTCCTTTTGTGAATATTTACTCAAAACTGGAAACGGAATTGAAAACGAGCATACATGTCGCATGATTAAGCTTCCTTCGGACATTGTCATAGATTTTGAAGATGAAAATAAATCATTGAAAAAGTTGATCAGCATTGTGTTTCCAAATTTTCACACTTATAGTGACAATTTAAATACTGTGATGAATAAAATTATTTTAATTCCAAAAAACGAATATGTAGATATGATAAACAATATGTTAATTAAACAAATTTCAGGAGATACATTTACATATTTCAGTTTTGATGAAGTGATTGATAAAATGGAAGGATTTATCCATGAAGATTTTTTTAATAGTTTAACTCTAAATGGTATACCTTCACATGAACTTGTTCTAAAAAAAATTGTCCTATTATGTTGCTCAGAAATGTTAATCCTTCGGAAGGTTTGTACAATGGAACTAGACTTATTTGTCGTGAATTTAAACAAAATGTTATTTTAGCTGAAATTGGATCTGGTGAATATCGTGGAAAATAAGTGTTTTTACCTAGAATTTCATTTATTCCATTTGAGGGAGATAAACATTCAGTACCTTTTAAAAGAACTCAATTTTTCGTTCGTCCTTATTTTGCTATAACTATTAACAAAACCCAAGTTCAAACATTAGATTTTGTAAGTCTATATCTGTCTGAACCTGTATTTTCACATGGTCAGCTATATGTTACGTTGTCTAGAGAAAAAACAAGACAAAATATAAAAATTTTGATTAAGTCAGCAGACGAAAATAAATCACATATTTGTTGCACAAAAAATGTGGTGTATCTGAAAATTTTGAATTTAATACATTCTATTTAACAAGTCTAGAATTCTAAATTGTCCAAAATTAATCTATCGTCCCGTTGTTGCCAAAGCGAAGATTTATACATCATGTTTCAACAGAATAATACATTAGGTTAGTTATTTTCATTTGTTTTTTTAATTATAGTTATATTTTGTTTGCTAACATGCTTAATTTTTTTCATCATCTTTCTTATTCAAAGCATAAATATGAATATTTAATAATAAATTTATGAGGAAAGAAATCATGTAAAATTGTGATATTATAATGTTGATTCAAACTAAAATTAAAATATTGTCAATTCGTTTAGGTTTATCACGAATTCAACACAGTTTATTTTTTTCTATATTTACACCAACAATATGACAAAATAGAAAAATAAAAAAAACACAACATAAACTTATTACATAACATTTATTCTCATTACATGACCACATAACTAAGGAAAAGGATGAAGAAAATATTCATTGTTGCAAACCTTTGTTCTAACCAGATAACTAAGAAGGAGGATAAAATAAATATTCATTATTACAAATATCCACTACCATCTTTCGTCTATAAATTGACATTCTATCAGGTGAAACTAATTCTATTGGCTGCCCTAGGACAAAGCATTCTATATATTTTAGTATGAACATTTCACAGTTTGGCCTGTAGAAGAAATAGTTTTACGTTATGCTGCATTAATATAAAGAAAAAATTAAATATTATAACAAATAAATAATTATTTAAGTGCTCACCCATTGCCTGCACATGGTAGATAATATATTATCTCCACTTGCATTGTTTTGCTTCTATGTTTCCTTACATCCTTTCTAGTAGAAAGCTCAGAATTCAGAATGAATGCTTGGATTGTACCATGTGTTGCTTTTGCATGTTTCATGACTTGATCTGGTATAAGAATATTGTTGCTACAATCATATGTTAAAAATTTTCATTCAAGAATATTCACCACAAAAAGATATCAACAATTGCCAGAAAATGAGCATGGAATTAGTAGATGCTTGAACGCCATCCAGTTACGACCATTTATAGGCGAAACACCATTCGCATATTCGTTTAACGGAGTGAAGTCCACTTTTCCCTTAGTGATTTTGTTTTTCTCTTCTATTAGCCAGTTGAAAATACTAGAACACTCATTTTTAAATTTGAAATCCATTATTGCATAGTCTTTAGAACTTAAGGTAGAACCATTTTTAATAAGTCGCCCTTGTAACTTCAACTCCAGCTCAATACTCTAATAGAGTAAATACATGTAAATTTAATTTATTAATATTAAACATAAAATTAAATTAATTGTAATTACTAAACTTCACTCACCGTGGGAGTTACATCTTTTCCTACATCCAACAAATTTTTCAACATGTCCCTTCCAATGTAATTGTCGTTGTCCTCCCAATAAGTACTATATAAAAAAATATAACTTAATGTTAGATAATATAATTTACTATTCACTGAATAAAAAAATAGTATTTAAACTAATACGGAGTTAAATTTGTTACCCTGACGGATTATGCAATATCCAATCTCTAATCATGTTGTACTTATTCTTTGGATAAGCTTTTAAAGGACGATTTTTTGATGACCAAGACAATATCTGTTTTTCCTTACCTTTATTTCTCTTCTCAACCCTTCAAAACTTTCCGTCTATTATTCATATGTTGATGTTTGCCTTGGCAAATCGCTGGGAATTGGAATTGTGTGGATAGGAATATCTTGTTGCATAGAACCAATAATGGCTTCTATGTTTGATACATTGCTCAATATATTCTTATTCTATTCATCTACGTAAGATCTCATTGAACTTAAACTGTTATTCATATAAGATTGCATGTTGCCTAAAATATTATTTTCTTATCATTTTTGCTGCTGTCGAAATTCCTGTTGGAATACTTATTTGTGGCTGTCAAGAATAGCATCTATATAAGAATGAATACTAGATTGCATATAATCTTCTTGCCATTTTTGATGTTGTTCAAACTACTTGTTTTGACTGTGAAATATTTCTTCCTTCAGGTTATGGCATACACCAGACACATTTGATATTACATGTTGCCTATGTATTCCCAGCATTTCTTCCATTTGTTCTCGAATTATATAGTTAGAAGCATCAAAAGCAGAAGCAGAACCAACTCTAGGAGAAGTTCTCGAACTACTGGGAATAGTCGTTTCTTGCACAAAGATGTTTTCTGGGATTTGTTGTACTGTGTTGTCTAATTTCCCATTGACAATACCATCTAAGATACTATGTTGATTATCCGCTGACATTGAAAGAGTTGTATATCATGACAATTCTAACTATTCTTCGACGGGATATAACACTGCAAGTACATCAATCTGTAATCATGATAACTAAATTTAGTTTTTAAAATGATGAAATGAAAATGAAATTTTGCATTCGTAAAAAAAGTATGTTATACCTCAGTGGCCAAAAAAGGTTTTACCATTTTCTCAGTTAATATTGAATTAGGTCTCCACTTATATATTCGAGGACTTTGTGCTGTTTTATATCTCCTGCGTCCAAATTTTTTTCCAATCTCTGGAAAGACTTTATATATCCAGAACTGCAAGTAATTATAATCTTTTGTTATACAAATAAGTTATACATAATATATATAACAATAAAAGAACAGAAAAAATTTACCTGGAATGCAAGTAGATATCCTCTTAATGTATATTTGCAATCTGTTTGATTTTGTTATGCTCTTTGCACTATTTCAGCTTATGATTCTTGCAAAGAATTTAACAAGACAAAATATGTTTTTTGACCCCATGGATAAGCAATAAAGTCATCGAGATGCTCGACCATACCAAGAGTCTTATAATCAATAATTCTGCCAGTTGGTTTCAAAACACATTCCACAAACATAACCAATCCCAGCTTAAATTTATCTATGTAGTCTTCGCATGAATGGAACGCTTGATGCAATATTCTCATATTAACTCTTCTTGTTCCATTGAAATATTGATTTATAAGACGATAGTTATTATGATTAATCTCCACAGATGGTTCATAGCATGGTAATCCAATGATGATACAATATTTTTGCATGCTAAACCTAGCAATACGATAACCTAACCGTACTCACACTTCGTTATTTTTACCACAATGTACAAGTCTCATTACGAATTCATGTATCAACCTACTACTAAATTGTTCATCTTCTTCCGTATAAATAACTCTCGCAAAAAATCCATAGAAATCGCTACACATAGCAGAAGCCTGTGGATTTACATCTATAAATTCAATAAAATCTTGGAGATATTTCCGATTTGTATATTGACAGATAGTGGCAGAGAACCATTGATTTGGAGAGACAATATATTCTAGAGACGTCTACATAATAAACGAAATAGACAAATTTGTATTTATAAGAATTCCATAAATTCTAACTCTATATCTATATCTCACAATGGCAACAATACAGGTGCTATTATTTATGTTTTAGATGATTATGACAAAAGAATACTAAAATTCAAAGACTTTATACATACTATGAATAACTAAGGCTATAATTTTTTCTTCATCTTATCTTTCTTTTTTTTTGCTTGTTGGAGATTTTATTTTAAAAGCAGTTATAGTTTTTACTTGTCTTTGCATTATTAGTTCTGCAGTAAACATTTTAGTATAAAATCGAAATTATTTTTAAGAAAATATGAATATATTGTATACATACATAGATTAAGGAAGCAAGATGGGTCTCTTTGTTCATACAGAGGTTGTCTATTCATGCACTATCGGTGCCCAACAATATTTTCTTGTTCATTTCAACAATAAATCTTACCTTTTATCCAGCTAAATGTTTGCACCTTGGCGCTTCTCTCTACTTTGAAGACTCTTGCTCTCTTGCAAAAATGTAAAATTGCTAAAAGTTTAGTATGATTGATGAGATAAAATGTTAGAAAGATTCTTTACATGTGAATTCTCATGACTTTTAGTAGTTGAGATAATAAGTGAAAATAATAATTGTAGGAATATTATTTTGTTGTGTTGTGAGTTAGTTGGGATAATAATTGTAGGAAATAAATTTTCTTTTGACTTTTTTTTCCTTTTTTATTTTTTTTTTGTTTCTTTAACATATTCGTTCACATTTATATTAAAAAAAAAAACTAATAACTAATTTTATCAAATTTGTCATGGATGAACAAAGTATATCATAAATATCTTTTCTAAAAACTCTTTCTCATAGTAAATTATCATTCTACTTGTACTAAAACTAAAACTTTACCTCTCCATATCTATTTACAGAGTTATTACTCAGTATAAAGTATGACAGTATATAAAATCTACTTACAAAAGTTATTACTCAATAAAGTATGGCACGATGAAATTTTACAGACTGTAACATAGCTTTATTTTAGTTTTATATAGGACAAAAAATAGAGTTAATATTATTTTAAATATCTTACTCTAATAATTAATTCAATTCATCTCATTAGTACTACAAATTTACAAGTAATCCCCATACCGGGTATGGTTATAGATTAGATTTTACAATGTATTACTGATAAATATAATAATATAAAAAATATAAATGATATAACTCTAGATGTCTAGATATATCTTCTTTTGTTTTCAATTGGTTATCTCAAAAGAAATATTTTCTCTCAAAAGTTACTTTGTGTCTTCATCCTGTTTATACAAATATTGTCACCATTACAATCACAATGGAAGAAAAGTACCAACTTATACCAGAAATTCTATCCAACAATAAAAAATGGAAAGTCAAAGTAATTATTGTAGAGAAACAATCACTAAAACCTTCAAGACAAGGCAATGGAAGATACCAACACATGATGCTAATGGATTCTGACGTAAGTTATGCAATTATTTAGTATTACTTTTCTTTTTGAAAATATGTTTTCTCTCTTTTATATATATATATATACACACACACACACATTCTTACACTAATGAATTTTTATATTTTTATCTATTAGTGTAATATTATCCAAGCAAGTCTATATGATTCAAATATCACTGCGTTCGAAAATTAACTTTTCATTGGAAAGACCTATGCAATTTCTAAAGCTCATATTAAAAACAACACTAGAAATTAAAATATTCAACATGAGCTCTACAATCGACGATTTCTAGAGAAACTCGTTGGGTTGAATAACAATAACCTGGAATTTATTTTCTTAACCTATCACCTGACTTCTTTTAATGAAGTTGAGCAGTTTTTGGATACAAACACTGATATAAGTAAGAAATAACATCTTTATTCTCAAAATAAATAATACTAATATATATAATTTAATCAAATAATTAAAATTACAGTCAACACAAAAAAAATTATTTATTTTTCATTTTACAGATATTTTGGCTATTGTGATTGATATAATTAATGTTTAAATGATTGATTCAATCAAAGGATGACAACCAAACTTGGGTACAAGATGTAATACTTCTGGACCAAAAATTCAAAACAATGATGTTGACACTGTGGGATTCATTTGTTGATAGAGAATGTAAATTATTCTTAGAAAATATTGACAAGAAACCAGTAATCTTTGCAACAAACCTAAAAGTCACATCTTTCTTCGGTAAGTTTCTATTATTTTTCCTTATTTAAACTCTGCTTAAAAATGCATTTCATATCTTACATCAATGAATTGTATAGGTTTAAAACTCTCCACAAAAGTTCGTAGTACGTTCTTCATGAATACTCCTTTCGTTGCAGTACAAAAGTTGGTTGAATAGTATGTATGTATATCCTTCCGCTTACAATTATAATGGTTTTATTCGGCTTATTTACTCTTTCATTCTTTCAAGAAAGATACAAATTTAGACAAAATCGATGAGTTCATTTTGAAAAAGCTATACACTCCAAAATCTACCACAAAATTGTCACCTCCAATGCGCAACAAATTCACCTTAATTCAAAATCTACATGGCCGACTTTTACTGTTATTTATATATTCCTGTACACAATAAAATTATGGTTTCTATTTATGTTTCTTTATAAGTGACAATTTCTTTTTTTCAGAGAAAATTTTATTGGGTGAATACCACAAAAATGGAAAAAATAGATCAGAAATGTTGGTATATGGCTTGCAACAATTGTTATCGACGATCAAGCATTGATTTTGATGAAATATATGTTTGTATTTTCTGTAAAAGTTCCAATATATATATATATATATATATATATATATATATCTTTATTTCAGAGCAAGATCATATGTCCAATTATCAGATGTCACAGGATGTATAAATGCAAGTGCAATTGGTGAAGCTGCAGAAAAACTTATGTTCACAGATGCACAAATTTTAATGGAAGAAATAAACTTTGTAATAATTTACAGTATTCTCCAATCTCTATTTTGGTATATTTGATCGATTTCTTCATAACATTCATATTTTTTATACACGGTTCACAAGCAGATTTTGGAAACATAATTGGAAAAATGCAAAACATTGAAAGAGCATTCTATCTCAAAGGGACTCAAGCGGAACATAATTCATCCAATTATGAATTTGACATCATCTCCGTCGAATGTTTAATTGCAGATGAAGAACAAGAATGCCATCAAAAGAACATTGATTCTGAAAAAAATTTGGAAAATTTTGACAAAGATGCGATGACAATTGGTTCCCTCCTGTAAAAAAAGCTCTTTTCAAATCAGCTGTACACCAGTCACAAAGTCCCAGCTCAAATCCATTTACAACAAATAAAATGAAAGAAAAAATAGAGTAGAAAATGGGAAAAAATTCAGCAATATTATCTTTTGAAATAACTGAAAAACTAAGCCAGTTTATTTTGAATAATATTGTATATATTTTTGGTGTGGCTTGTAGTTATTTTATAGCTTTCAATGAAATTACTTTCTCTTCAATTTACATCTCAGTAATTTCTCATTTTCAAAAACTTAAAACACTTTTTTTTTTTTTTTTAAATCTACACATTCCACGCTAATAATAACATAATCTATACAATACTCGTGCAACGCACGAGACAGGCACTAGTATTTTGAAAAGAGAAAAACTCGGTCAATGAACAAAAATTCTCAATCGAGGATTAACATGACCTTCATCTGAACTAAAGCTCCAACGCTTAAATTAGGAAAAAAAATTCTTAATTACATATGTTTAAAAAATAAATTCAAAAATTAAGTTGTCACATTTTGTGGTATCTTATAAAATGTTGCAACGTATAATTTAATTAAATTGATCATGATTACAATAACACATAATTTATGATCACAATCAAATACAAGTCACAAATTACGCAAGTTCAATAACACACAATTCGTGAATTAGAATCTTGTATTTAGTAGTAAATATTCAATATGATTTTTAATTATAAAAAATATTTTTGATTCCTGATTTTTGAAATTGAAAATTTAAAAATAGGGATTTACATAATTTTCTTATTTTTTATTCACACGGTACAGTTCATACTTCATAGCCCCAATTACATGTCACCAAAGGCTTATACAATGTTTTTGGGCACTGTACTACAGTATACAGCTCGGCCCCCTGTGATAGGTTGGCCCTTGTTTTCCAAATATTTTTTACTTGAATATCAAACTATTGAAATTATCAGTGACTAAAAACTATTGGAAAATAGGCCAGACAAAATTCAGTCTAGGAATTACATTGGGACGAATTTACTCCAAAAAAAAAAAAAGAAAAAAAAATTCTACAATTTTTATTGGACCGATTGTTATAAATGGTTAAGTGTTAATACTATACCAGCTTCAAAATAGCTGGCAGTTGATCTAAACTTCATAAATCATAGCTCCACCATTGATAAGAATTTTATAACCACATTTTTTCAAATATTATTTTCAACCACACATCTTTATAAAATAATTTTGCACATGTATATATAAACTTTCCTACATTAAAAAAAAAAAAAATTCATTTTACAAAAAATATTTCCTAAAAACGTTTATATCAAATATGCCCATAGTGTTTAGACGTGATTTTGATTAAGCTTAATTAATTCTCCAAACTTGGTTCGTTGTGCCACCTCAAGTTTGTTAAGTTCTATTTAAATCTTATTTTTTTCTCAAAATTTTTATCAACTTGGAACAAATAAATTCATTTTCATTATCAAATGCTCTGCCCCCACCCCTGTTGCATAGCAAAACTCTAATAACAATGGGTCGTTTTCTAATTTCTAATTGAGAAAGACAAATGTGTATAATAATCAATTTATTTTTCGGATTAATTACAACTAAGCAGAAATATGTCAATGACGTGAGTAAAACTGGTAATATTTATATGATTTGTGGGTGAGACTTCTTTCAACTATCTCATTCGGATTACCCCAAGAATTTTGGGTAAAATAGGGAAAGTTTTCTATCCTTGATGGATTCAATGACACTAGCCGTCCGTCTATCGCAATAGTACATTACTGCCAATTTGAGAGACCCTTTTTTTCTTTGCTTCACATGATCCATTCTCCCTGCTTTCCCGTGACAATACAATACAATACAATGTCCATAACCTTCTATTTCTTTTGGATATTTTATATAAGGATATATTAAAAAATTATTTGGTGAAAGAGTTATCTTCTTGAGGTAATAAGAAACAACTCATATGGTGTCGCAATTCAACCACATGTTCGGGGTAATAAGAAACATATTTCCTTTAGCATTAGCATTACATATCATATTCAAATTAGCAATAATAGCATTTATTGTACCAACATTACGAAGGCCCGTGGTATTTTTATAAGTCAAAAACTGCTTTTGATACTTGGAAGTTTCTTTTATATATAA